GGAGAGGAGAGTATGTCAGAGTATGTTTATTGCACGTTTTTCTGCTTCCCCATTTTGTTGAGCTTTTTAGTCTAATTTTTCTGGAATTCCTCTCCCATTTTCTCTAGGGTCTCGCATCTGAGTCAGATATTTATTAAACTTGCAACATTTAGACAAAAAGAATAACCTGTTTTAGTTGCTTAGCTACGAAAGAGTTGAAAATCCGTCTCAAAAAGGTTTAGATCACTCAAAAAGGTTTTGATCTCTGACAATCAGGCAGTTAGCCAAGTATGACACACAACTGCGCCCCGTTATCACATACATTTAAAAAGACAATACAAATATTTCGATAGAATAGCTGTCTATCCTATTACGTTTATCATCTTTCAAATTTGGTCAAAGAAAATCAATAGCAACTAATTAATTTCTCAAAGGAAGATGGTGCAATGGGCTGCAAGAGGGCGTGTCGCACTTGCCGGAAACATAGGATCAAAATCGTAAACATATTAGGTGGTTGGTTCTCAACATGTGAGTAGCGACCCTTTTGGGGGTTGAACGATCATTTCCCAGGGGTCGCCTAGGATCATCATAAAAAACATATTCACTGAAGTTAGGAAGTTAGCGCCGCATTAGCGCAGAAGATAGGAGACTCACTTTCAGATCCAGCTGCGACTCGCTGCAGCCCGCGGCAGGTGTTCGAAACCTGGGGTTTACCCTAGGGCTGTACCGAATAGTGATTTTCACTATTCGGCCGAATACGAATAGCTGGACCAACTATTCGGCCGAATACGAATAGTGAATCATCATCATCATGTGCTTTGCCGGCTGGCATGGGCGATTATGCCTCGCCACAATCTCCGATCTCCTGCAGCACGTATTAGTGTTCGAAACCTGGGGTTTACCCTAGGGCTGTACCGAATAGTGATTTTCACTATTCGGCCGAATACGAATAGCTGGACCAACTATTCGGCCGAATACGAATAGTGAATCATCATCATCATGTGCTTTGCCGGCTGGCATGGGCGATTATGCCTCGCCACAATCTCCGATCTCCTGCAGCACGTATTAGTTCGTGTGCTGACAAGGGCTGTTCCGAATATTCGCTTCGTATTCGCTTCGGCGCCGAATAGTGGACCCAATAACTATTCGGTATTCGGCCGAATAGTTGCGGTCGGGCCGAATACGAATAGTGGTTACAACCGTTTCTGGACTGGTGGAAAAAAAAAACATCAAGATTTCCCACCTTGGTTTATACTGTCAAGCGTTATCTTTGTGCACCACCTACGAGCGTACCAAGTGCCCCTTCATTTCCATCTTGTATGTGTTGCGAGTATAGCGTTCTTCTGTCGGAAAATGAAATTATACATCCTAACCTGACCAGTCTGTAGCGACAGCACTAGCCATGCGGAACCAAAAATTCTGGCTCACGACTCTCTGTCTACTCCGATGGTAACACAGATAGCAGTGACATTATTTTAGCTACTGTGGTGGTGGTCGTGGTAGTAGTTGTACTGGTACTTGAAGGATGATGTGGTAAATATTACACTAGCCCCACTCACTACCTTTCACAATTCCTGCTCCCCATTTTAGTCCAGATGGACAGGGATGTCAATGTCAGTTACAGCAACAACAAAAATATCGCCAGGTAGTGATTTTTAAATCCTTCGAAGAGGAAGAGAGAGCAGTAGTCGGTGGAAGAGGGGAGGGGGTAATGACTTAAATTTAAGAGAACTTAAAGAGCTTTACACTTGATTTTCAAGTTCTCATTACCTAATTTGTTTATATTTTACTAACGCTACCTCCACTTTTCTATTTTTTACGACTTACTTTGTTATTCACAAGTACAGTTGTAGCTTTACTTCCGTCCCCTATAAAAATACAAACAGCTTTAGCATGTGATAACCAAAAAAAAAAACATTTTTTACTGTGCTTATATCACCATTTAAACGACCACTAATATAAAAACACAATTATAAGGTGCGTGTTCTAAAGTTGGAAAACCAGACTATTTCTATATCTGTGCAGAGAATGATTGCGACATTAACTATATTAGACACTTGCGATTTCCATTGTCTTTCTTTTCCAAAAAACCTTTGATGAGGGAGAGAGTAGTAGGTGGATTTAGTTGTAGTGGTGTGGGGGGGGGGGGCGCGGGGATCAAAGACTATCTCTATATCTGAGCAGACAATGATTGTATTAGACACGTGCGATTTCTATTTTCTTTTTTTTTTTCATTAAGCCAAACTATGCCACAGCAACGCATGGCCGGGTACAGCTAGTCATTTTATAAAATGCAGTTTTTGCCTGTCCTATTCTGTTTCTTATTAATGTGTCTTCCGTCTGTTGTTATCCATGTGCACAGATGCTTACATTTCTGTACTTGTCCCCAAAAAAACCATAGACTTTTAATACACATATAAGAAACATTATTTTTCAGATACCACCATTACTTCTGTCTTCTCACTATTCACACTGAGGCCTATTCTTCCACTTTCGTGTATAAAATAGATCTAAAAAAAAAAAAAAAATCCATAATATCAAACGTACGCTGAAATTTTACTTCACAAAATGTAGTACAAAATAGTAAACATTTAAAAACATTTCATTTTTTGCATCCTTCAGTCAGTCACTCTGTGGTAACTAATACCTAGGAATGAAAGTATTCTTAGTTTTATAACAAGTAACTAAACTTGTAAATTGTCACTAACAGCTTAGTTAATCTATAAAAGCAGCATTAGCTTTCAAAAATCGTTCCATGTTGTCAGCATTAAAGCAGCTTCTTGTCTCACTGAAGAAATTTCCGGCTGTACTGAACAGACGTTCACTTGATACGCCCGTAGGTGGTGCACAAAGACAACGCTTGACAGTATGAACCAAGGTGGGAAATTTTTATATGTTTATTTTCCACCAGTCCAGAAACGGGTGTAAGGTAATCACTATTCGTATTAGGTCCACTATTCGGCCCCGAAGCAAATACGAAGCGAATATTCGGTACAGCCCTAATATATATATATATATATATATATATATATATATATATATATATATATATATATATATATATATATATATATATATATATAACAGACACAGAAAAGCACTGTGCAATGCAGTATTGTTTTTATCAACATTGTGTTACTGTGATACTGAAAGGCAGAACAAGAAAAACAAAAGACATACACTTTACTGCTGTTGTGGTGTAAAGTGTTGTGAGATCACATATTCTAGGTCGCGACATGCATATCTGTTGTAGGAGTTCTCGGTAATAGTAAAAACTGCATGCTAGATATACAAACTGTTTACTAAACAAATTGAGCCAGTAAAACAACGGACTCCCTAACCTTAAAAAAGTGCCCACAAAATCTTTATATGGATTAGAACAGTGACACTATAACAGCTGGATCAAAAAGCGCAGGACGTTTATAGTGCCAAGGGCAGGACGTTCATGGTGCCAAGGGCAGGACGTTCATGGTGCCAAGGGCAGGACGTTCATGGTGCCAAGGGCAGGACGTTCATGGTGCCAAGGGCAGGACGTTCATGGTGCCAAGGGCAGGACGTTTATGGTGCCAAGGGCAGGACGTTTATGGTACCAAGGGCAGGACGTTTATAGTGTAAATGGCAGGACGTTTATGTTGTAATGGGCTGGACGTTTATAGAAATAAACATTACTGGATCATAATAGGATTAAATGGATATCCTCCGAATAACGGTCCTAAATTATCGGGGCGGAAAATATACCCTAACAGGGCCTCAGTCACATGTCAACTGCGCACTTCCAGGGACTATAACGCCACCGCCGAATTGTGAACTTTCGGGAACCTCCGCCACCGCCGAAAGTGACCCACACGCCGTTCACGCGGCGTGGATTGGGGCTAAACTAGATGGCTAGGACTCACGAGCAAATAAAATGAAGGAAGCTGCAGGAACGTTTTCACGTTGTGAGGTTTTTGATTTGCCGTTGTTTGCGGGAGACATTTTTATGTCTTTAGTTTTTAATGGCATTAGTCCATTAAGAAAAGATTGTAATCGTTAAGTCGTCTGAGTAGATAATAGTGACTTATTATAGTACCTTTATTAATCATCATCATCTTGTGACGTGTAATGTAAATCACATTAAAGTTTATGTGGCCTGTCACAAGTCGTCAGTGTTGTGACTCAGGATAGACACAATTGTATTTGCTGATGCTGTGCCAAGTGTGCCAGCGATTATAGTCTGCAGGACTCCACTGTAGCACATCCATCAAGAAGAGATCCAGCGGAATATTAGAGTAGGCACCCTAGACCCACATACTTGGTTATTTACAGACACCAAGGTGTATCAGTGTGTAAGAATACATATTATATGGACTAACATAAATAAGTGCTCTGTACACGTATAGTCTACATAGAGGGTGAATCCAGAGTGTACAACAAGGCTACACAAGTCTGCAGGCTACACAAGTCTGCAGGCTACACAAGTCTGCAGGATACACAAGTCTGCAGGATACACAAGGCTAGCTAGTGTGTTATGCGATCCGAGTTATAACTTCTGTGGGGGTTGCTTCAGTATCCGGGATTTGTCCTATTGGTTTGCCAAACGTAGTGAGATTCTTGATGACACTGTGGTCGTCAATCTAGAAGCAGTAGTAGCAGCAGCAGCGGTGGCGGCAGCAGCAGTAGTATTAGTAGTAGTAGCAGCAACATTAGCAGCAGCAATAGCAGCAGCAGTGGTAGCAGTAGCAGCAGTAGCAGAATTAGCAGCAATAGCAGCAGCAACAACAGTAGTATTAGTAGTAGTACTAGTAGTAGCAGCAGTAGTAGTAGCAGTAGTAGTATTAGCAGTAGTAGATGAGACGACTACTGGACGTAAATTTGCTAGAAAAACCACATCAGCCAAAAAATGCTGGGGTTGGTTCTGCAATGTCCTGTAAAGGATACACATCTAATAAGATGAGAGTAGGCAGGAGCTTCCTTACACTGTTTAGTATACAATAGCAAAAGTATATAAGACCAGGAAAGAATAAATAAAAGTGCGTACTCACTGTGCTTGACCCAAGAGTGGCTGGTAATGCTGACGATCATAAAAATGAAAGCAACCAAGCTGGCTAAGACTCCCACATAGCGGGCTCGAACAAATAAGGCATGATCCCAGAACTCTTGCAACATGTGCCACTGTTCAGGGCTAAGTTTCACCTCTGTCGCTCTCCTGTATTTGTTTCGTCGGTTTCTTTCGATAACCCTCATCACATGAACCTGTTGCTGCTTGTGCCTCCGCAGTTCGTTGAGATCGTCCTCTGATAGATACGTTCCCTCCAGGTCTGGGTGCATGAACTTCAACCCCTCCTGTCTAGCTTTTTTGATTGGCGTGGATATTCTGACCACTGTAGGTGTTGGGGGCGTAGGTTCTTCTCGAGTTAGTTTTTCTATACGTCTTCGGTAACTAGCCCGGCGTTCTCTTGACCATCTGGTCCATGCCGAAGGAGTATTGACCCCAAGGAACCGATTGCTGGCTTTTCCGGAACTTTTAGAGTTGTGACTCTTGTTTGAGCATCTACTACCTCGACGTTCCCATTCTGTATCAATGTGTGATAAGTTCAGACCTGGCACATCCGGGGAAGTTATCAGCTGGACGGTAGGAACAGGTCCAAGAGTTGAGAAAGGCACCTGAAAGGCTGTTTGAGGAGTGCTAGTAACTTGTACAACAGGGGCTTGCTGGCTGTTGGCAAAACCAACCACCGTAGTCCCGGAAGTTCGAGGTGGGTTAACATGATTACGTCCTTGAAAACTGAAACCAGCAAATCCGTCTGCGATTTGTCTTGTGGGGGAGTAATCGTCGTTATTAACTGCCTGGTATCCGCGATTACCCCGGTTGTCGCCACCTCCTCCACCTGACCCATTTAATCCTCTGTTTGCTCGCTGAAACAATCGGTCGTAATCCATCTTGTCTGTTACCTTGTCTTAAATAGTTCTCAATGAGTGTATGTTGTACACAAAAAACCCGATCTTTTTAGATAGACACTGAAGAAAACTGTCAAACTCTGAATAAGCTTCCTCCTCGTTGCACGATTTATCTGGTCGAGGACGTCTACCTTGTTCAAATACAGACCATGCATTCTCACGCAACCTCTATTCCGGCCCACTTAAGCTTCAAGACGGAGCTTTAGTCTTGTCAGTACCTCTTTCTGCCGACCTTGGGCTTTTACATCGCTTCCACTCAATGTATCCTGGTTGCTTTTTTATTTAGCTAGTGTGACTTGGAACTGAGATAATATCGTTTCGGTTGCTTCAATATCCTTTATATGTGGGGATCTAGCACTTGTTGTTTCTGTCTTTCTTCCCTTTCTTTTTTGCCAAGAATATAAGCTAATTTCGACTAAACTGCCTTAACAATTGTGACATGAACTTTTTCGTATGCTTGTTTCGCCAATGTACCCACCGTTTTTTAACAACATCGTGCATCTCAACTTCTTTATTCGCCTACACTATCTTCTAACCACTTCTGAAATATTCTGTGTCGTTTACTTCCTGAAACCACGAGTATGCTGAACACTGCCGAGCTCAGATTTATGATTCCTATATAAAGTCCCCCTTGTCCGAGACACATTTGGAGATTTGCATAGCAGAAGAAGACTAGGAGAATCTGAGATAACTTCCTGCTAGTCCAGATATGTTTGACTCCGTGGTTCTATTTTCAGTTCACAAGTAGATATGTTACTGACATCAACAGGTTCTGTGAACTGACCGTCTATACACAGATTTCTAAAAAAAAAAAAAAAAAAAAACACGAAACCCGTCCAGTTGTAACTCTGGCTTTAAAAGGCTGCTTTAAAAAATTCAAGTCCTCACAATCATTTTTAGAAACACCAATGTCCGCATGTTACATGAATTACGTTTACCGTTACTCGATGGTAATCTAATTAAATCCTTATCAGACCAGAACCTTCTCTCACTGTCCATATTACCAATCCCAGACAGAATGCCACTGTTTTCGAAAACACAATCCGATGCAGAACACTCTCCGATACTCCAGTGAACCGATCTCTTATTTGTAATCACTTCAACTACTTGACGAGTGCTTAGTGTTCCTCTTGAATAAACTCCAACACGGTCTTTCCACTTGTACTAAAACTAGAGAATTTTACAGAATTTTATCAGAATGAAAACTAGCAAGGCTCTATGATAATGAACACTAGTATAGCTTATACTATTGGTTGTCGTTACATTGAGCACCAGAGGCATCTAGGTTCACAACATCTATAATAATCCCCTACTGTAAATCTCTTGTCTGTTTCTGAGCGGATCTCCCACTTCTCACGTAGATCTATAAGCACTGTTGTTTTTATCGAGTGATAAAGGCCACACGTAAGAGATGACCGACTGATTTAGGTGCCAAAAGTCGGCTTGGCTGCCGCATCTGTGAGAAATGAATATCCTTTTCTGCTGTACTTCCACGATCGCGATTGCTGTGCTTCAACTGAAGCTGCTGTTTCTTCCATTCATCTTTCGCTTGTTGGAGCAACACACTAGGACTTTCTACATCTCGAAAAGGCTTTGACGGATAACTACTAATTGTTTGTACATTTTTTCCGTTACCCCTGCATTGTTATGACATGTTCTCCTTACAGTTATATCTATATTCGGAGTAAATCTCACTGAATCTAACCAACGAATTGCAGCCGGGACATCTTCCGATTGCCGTTCTGAATTTTCCGGTGCCAGAGAACCCTTATCTCTGTCTCTGTGCAAAAACACATGATGCCTGACAGCACATCCAGACGCATCAAATCCTTTTCAACGAGATCCGATCCTATACGCTGTTTCCTAACCCAACAGTATACCCATCCTCTAACTGATAGTAAGAACACTCTCCTGACTAGAAAATCCAGAAGTCACAGTTCCCTCTAAACCACTCGTTTCTGTCGAGCTCTGCGCTTGAAGTCGATTCAAACTTGGCGCTCGGTCAAAGCCCGTCAGGCTGTGAAATGCGTCATAGGTTAGAAAGTTCCACGCGCGCAGCGTACTCACATTTCCTGGAATGTTATCGAGGGACTTTTTCCCGGCTGTACTCCGGCCGGGGCCTCGCCTGTGGGCCACCGAGACATGGCTGCAGTTTTAACTTTATAATTAAACAGAGAGGGAACTTTTGAGGCCGTTATTATTATGAATCAATCAAGTAACAGAAGGTGTATTGATCGGCACTCATAGAATTAAGTTGACAGATAGAAGAACACACTAGACAACTTTAAAATCGAAAGCTATAGTTACCGTGCCGAGAACTGAACCTGTCACCTCCAGACGGCGTGTGCGCTTCGCCATGGATACAAGCGAACTAAGAACATGGTCAACTAGGCACCACCCAAAAAAAAAAAGGTGTCGTATTGGGAATGTCTATCGTACAGACCTGAAATCCACAACTATGGAATACGGACATTATTTCAAACCATTGAAATGGCACCATAGGTTACATACATTTATATTACCGAAGCATATGTCGAATAACAATCACAGCAACAATTTACAAACACAGAAGACCTCAATGCTATGTCTAGAATACACAAACATTTAAGAAAGGTATTTGATTGTTAGGTTCCGGTGTGTATACGTCATTCCCATAAATAAACAGAGGGGGAACCTTTGAGGCCGTTAAATATTATGAAATAATCAAGTAACAGAAAGTGTGTTCTTCTATCTTTCTACTTCTTTCTATGAGTGCCAGTCAATACACCTTCTGTTACTTGATTAATTCAGTTTTAACTCTGACTGTCCCACAAAGGGTTATCTACGGATTTATTATTTCTGTCTCAAAGTGGGTCGCAATTTTTCGTTATTTTAAAACCCCACTCCGGCTATAGCCGGGGACCCTAATATAACCTAATGGTTGAACCGCGCACATCGCCAAAATCAGGATGCCATGCAAAATCGCTATTGGAAATATATCTATATCTGCGAAAAGATCTAGTCTCAAAATCATGAACTGGAACGCAGAGGGAGTTAAAAATACAGCGAAGTTCATATTAGAGACAACATTTCAGATATAGACAAATTATTTCAAGCGAACGAAAGATAAAGAAGAAGATTGAATGGGCTTTCTGGAACTTGAACCTGGTCTGATCCTCATCCGAATATCAGCACCTTGTGTCACCGGGTGTTGGTCGCTAGTTGAATGGTCCTCGTGCCGTTGACTGACGTACACACGCCCAGTGTTATCATAGACCGTTTTATACAGGCGTTATTGTCTGTCCGTTGTCACCATGCGTTTTTACGGCTGTGTAGGACAGAAGGATCTTGAGCATGAAGAGATAGGATCGAAGACAGTGCTGGATTTAGCCGTAAGCTAAGTTTAAACGTAGGACTTCCCAGTCTGCAGTGACATCACACAATTTGGAACCACCACAATGACCTCAGAACCAACAGAGAGGACCCAGACGTGTTCGTAAAAGGACAACTGCACATGATAAGGGGCAATAAGCACCAACTAGTGACACAAGAAACCGGTAATTAATACGTTTGTCTCCCCATTTACACACCGGTACACACTAGCTCGCTTCTGATTGGTCGACCTCCAGCTTGCCTCACTTTTGATAGGTCGGCCTCGAGCGATCCGACTTTCACACAAGCTCGTGGGGCTTTTTCGCACTCGCGCTCAAACCGCGGGTTGTATATTTCACCATGCCAGAGCTTTTAACACTACACAAACATTTAAATACTGGGTCTAACACACAACCACCCTAGAGAGTGACGAAACCTAAATCACAGATTGTCTCTTTCTGGGAATAAAAACGTAAATGCCAGACAACAAGAAACCGCGACACCCATAACCTCGACCACGGCAGACTAGTCCAACAAACTTATCAATGGAGTGAACCTACATTCGGTGGGGAGAACAACGTAATAAGAACCAAGAAACGTTATGAATCCTCGAACTTGTCGTAGATATTATTATTCATTATTATTGCCGACGCAGGTAACGGGACAGTCACACATTTCAGGGGGTGGTAGATTAAACGTATAGTTTTGAATAGGGTTAGGTAAATGCGAGAAAACCTGGGCCTTGAAAGAAACGCGCTAAAGCACAGAAAACAGGGAAAACCCGCTCTTACCTTCTTCTTCTTCTTCTTCTTCTTCTCTTCCACCTTGTACCTCATCGAAGTGTCGGGGGGAGATGTAATGTTCGTTGATGAGCTCTGTCAAGAGCACTATTAAGACTGATGTTCATTTCTGTAAGGCTGTTCTTAATGCTATCACTCCATTATTTCCGAGGTCTTCCACTCGCTCTATACCCTTTGTAACATTTTTAGTGTGGCTCGCTGTGGCAGAGAGTACCAGGGTATTCTTGTTAGGTGTCCAAACCACTTCATTTGTTGTTCTTTGATGACCTGTAAGACTGGCTTTATACCTAGCATTCGTCTGAATTCATGATTTCGTATTCTGTCTTTCCTTGAAACTCCTGCAGCTCTTCTAGGGCATTTCATCTCTGTTGTCACAATTTTACCTTCATTAAAGGGTGTAAGTGTCCACGTTTGGCATTAATAGCAAAGTGTTGGCCAAAAAAATAGTTCTGATAAGATTCACTTTAGTACTCCGAGGTATCTGCTTGTGTGTCAACAGGGGAGATAGTTGACCCATTACTTCCCGCTCTTACCACCCGCTAAAATATTTGACTGTCCTGTGAGGGTATTTTTGATCGGCTAAGACATAGAATAAGAAGCTCTCTGAATGAGATCCCAACGTTCTTAATCCCTTGGTCAGCCGTTTATAAATTCCATCGGTCAGTTCTTGAAACTAACAAGTTTTGGACCGAAAACTAACTACCTTAATCATCGTATTGAAACAGGAGTTGCAAATGAGACATGGGATAATAGGTCCCTTTTCCACGCCTTTAGGTCAGTGAAGAACATAGGGGTCATCCCCTGGTGAGATGCGATTTTGCGTTATTTTGA